ATGCATTGTACGTATTGTATGTATTGTATGATCGTATGCATTTAATGTTTTGTATGACTATATGTATGTATGATACGTATTGTAAGCCCCGGGGCGGGTCTCATGCGTAGTCACCTCCTCGTGGTGAGACCTGGTAATTGATATCGTTTTACAAACATTAAAGTTGTAAAACAATATCAAGCTAAGAACTACGCAACCTACAGTTCAGTTTAGAGGTAAAGTTTACCTCTAAACTGAACTATAGAGACAATTAGTTGATAAGTAAAATATTGGACCCCCCAGTGGGGCACCGTGGGACGACGAGGGATCTCGCAGGGACATCGTGGGCTGCGTGCATCTTAACTTTGCGTGTTAAGTTGCATGCGTTTAGCTTTAGTTAATCACAAGATATTTAAAGTCTGTAAATTAAATGTAAGCACATTCTATAGAATGATACTGTTATTGCTATAATATACGCAAAACAGTTTTTATTTTTTCTGTAAATATGTAAAATATTTTAAATATTACGTCTGAATTATAATTATTTTCAATTTGAACTTTAGTTTGTATTTTAATATATTGTGCTTTGGTTTACTTTTCATCGATTTTGTTCTTTTGCCGTTCGTTTGCACATTGATAAGAATTTGTGAACGTTTTGCAATCGCATATCAAAAGAAGTTTCCTTTTCTTTTCATTGAATAAATTTGTTTTGAAGTAAAAGAAGGATGGATGGGACAAGGATGGGTTTCGATACGTGGTGAAACCAGGGCAATCATTGTTATTTGTGATACAATTACTAATTGTATTCCTGCGATACAATTATGAATAACTATAACAAATAATATGATCTAATCGGCTGCCAACACGATTTAGTTTTTATGTAATTAAAGGATTTGCTGAGTTGGACTAGAAAAAAATCGTTGATTTTTAAAATTATAGATTGAATATTTTTCAAATCATGCTCTTGGCGCATTCACTAGTTCCCTAACTCACCGTTGTATAAACGTGGAGTGTACTAAAAAACCAGTGATATTTTACTATGTCGATATTTCAGGTCACGAGCCACACATTTCCATTTTAAGATGCTTGGTCCATTTTTATATGTCGTCGGTGGTTCAGTAAGGAGATATAAAATTTCACTTCTTTTGAAAATCATAAATTAACGTGTTCATGTATGATACAATTTATATAGAAGTTTAAAATTAATTTTATTTTTTAATATCGATTCATGAATTTTCATTTGCGAAGATAAGCTTATTTAGAGGATTGAACTGAACTGTTGTAACAGTGCCTTCTTAATTAGAACCTCAGTTTACTTAGCATATCCCAATTTAGAATGCACGAATAATTATCTTTGTAATTAATTAGTAGCCTAGATTCACTAAAAGATGGCGTCACTGTGTTCATGTCGAAGTACTCTACACTAATTTAAAAAAATAAAATAATTTAAAAAAGAAATAATTTATCAACTTTTGCAATTGCATCGTCTGTTTAAGACCCTAAGCTTTCGTTGTATATTCATTTACATTTCAAAATATATTGATAAAGATTTCCAATTTTCGTTTAGTAGATCGCTTTGCAATTTTGATTATCTATGAAAATAATTATTCATGCGTTTATAATTGGATATATTAAAAAGGTTGTGGATCTAATTAAAAGGGCGCAGTGACAAAAGTTCATAATTCAAATCTCTAAGTAAGTTTTCTTTGAAAATTTATTACTAAAAGGTGTCGATAAAAGAAAGAATATGTGGGAAAATTACGTATAAATTAATTATGAATTAAGATTAATAATTTATAGCGATATATAGTAGTAATTTATAGCAGTAATAGAACAAATTTAACAATTTCTTGTACAACGATATCTACAGCAGATCAAATGACACATTTTTCTACGCACCTTTTTATCTTTTTTTTATACATACCAGTTACATTTTTCATGATTTAAAAAATTGGAAGAAAAAAAAAAATTGGAGGAAGATTATAAATTATAGTTTGTCAATTGTTACATTTGAATTTTATTTGTTCATCAATCCTTGTCCTCCATGTTTTCCAGCTTTGCAATGTTTTCAAAATCATATTGATTATTAGTACTCACTGATGTAACGTTTTCGATTCAAAATTTATAAAATTGAATTTCGATCCTCTGAAAGTTTTATCTCCTGATTATAGAAATAATTTGTGCATTTGTCTATATCGTCAATCGAATCGAGAAAAATCATGAAAGATGTAATCTTAATTAAGTCGCTACAATAAAACACATTGAACTAATTAATTAAATATTTGTTTGAAATCTTGGAATACCTTGAATCACTTGAATATAGATGCTAGTAAATAAAAAATATAATTATCAAGTATTCTATCTTATCTCATAATTAGTAACGTTTCATGTTACTTTTGAATTTTTTTATCTATCACAAACGATATATTTTATTTTTTCGTAATATTCGTAGAACAAAGATCGTGTTTATCAGCGGTTCCACTGAAATCGTGTAATTTGTTTTGAATGATTCGGAGAAAGGAACAGTGTTGAAGAATCAACGTGCACCTCTGAGGGGCTTCCCGGCCGCGTTCAATTTTTCGTTTAAAAACCGACGTCCTTTCGTGATTCTCATCAGTTATAGTTTTAACTACGAGCCAACGCGGTGTCCAGCATTATGAAATCGCTCGGTTCTTCAGTATTTACAGTGTACGTTCTCATCTTATTTGTTCAGGCTGAAAATGTTTTCGGATTGCCGAGTCTCTGGGCCAATCTCAAAAATGAAACTGGTAATGAGTCTTCCGATTCCGTTTAATTCGTTCATTCGAATCGAAATGTGCAAGTGTTTACCAATATAATAAACTTTCAACAACTCCAATTAGATTTTTTATCACAATAATTTCGTGTGTATGTGTGCGTGAAAAATTTCAATTTCAAGATTCAATCACTTTTCCTCTAATACCAATTACTCCGCAACTCTTTCTTTAACATCACATAAACCTGAATAAAGAGAACATAAAATCAACTCCTTAAATCTACTTAAATCTACGTTTAAAACACACACACACATATGGATACGAAGTTACTTATCAAGAGTAACTTTGTATCATCGAGTCCTTTCGTTAAGAATCTTCCATTAATTTCCTATATATAAAAAAAGAATGTTATTTTAATTATGCGTAGCTGTTCCAAACATCGTAAGCAGGAAAGACTGGCAAGCAAGGCTACCGATTGAACGAGTGTCGCTGAAAGTGACACCAACACCTTACGTGGTTATTCATCACGGAGGCATTGCTCGATACTGTCACGATCAAAAAGCATGCTCCGCGATCGTGAGAAGCTATCAAAACCATCATATGGATGATAACGGCTGGTTCGATATTGGTTACAACTTCATCATTGGCGAGGATGGAAATGTCTATGAGGGTCGAGGTTGGAATGATGTTGGAGCGCATGCACCTGGTTATAACAGCCAGAGCATTGGAATATGTATCATCGGTGACTTTAGTAGTAAGTATTTTGCAATTTGAACAGAATTTTATGCGAGATCTGATAAAATAAAATTCCAAATTTATTAACTTCCCGATGAGTAATTACTCAAGAGCAATTGCATTTGCAATCATTACATTGAAATTTACATATGGTTTTTTTGTGAACCAGTTGATCGTACAGAGTGGAAACTATCAGTTTACAATTGTCGTCGGCTGGTCTAAATGTAAACCAACAATAAGTCTAATAGCACGTAATAATTATTTCTGTAGATTTCCTTCCTGATGAAGCAGCTCTGAAAGCAGTGAACGCATTGATCAATTACGGAGTATCCATTGGGAAAATCAGCGAAAATTACCGTGTCCTAGGACATCGACAAGCCGTAAACACTCTCTGTCCAGGCACTGAACTGTACAAATATGTTCAAACGCTTCCACGATGGACTAACAGTCCTACGCCTACTATAAATTGAGCAATTTGTCGTTAATCACACGAATGAAAACACCGCAAACAAGAAGAGTGAAATCTGATAATGCACTTTATGATAACAATATCTCTACAAGAAATATAATTCTAATCAATGGGATGCAGCGTATAAATACGTTTGATTATTTATTGCATTAAAGAACTTTACAGTGTTTACATAGTTATTATGTTATCAAAGAAAGATGTATGACAATAATAGTCACACTATAATAGTATTTCGTTACTTGCGATTTATTTCTTCGTTCGACTTAAATTAATGAAGTCTCTAAGTATTTAACTTGTACACTTAAATATAAGCGACTGCAAGGTAGAATACGAATAGCCCCATTTATTAATTTAAAATGCATCTGTTAGAAATATGTTTAACGATAACGTTTGAGCAATGTACTTAATTTATTTCTGATCTTGTAGTGTAGTACGAAAACGCTAAAATATAATTTTGAGAAAACATGAATATTCTGGTCATCGCTTTGTATAGAGTGAAATAATAAATAAATGCAGCAAAATAAGTATCATGTAATTTTTCGTATTAACATAAGAAATATAGTATGAATCTTCGATAAAATTTTATATCTTTCATATTTATTAGTATAACCTTTCTCTTGGAAATCTCTCACGACATAATTCATATTGACGCAAGCAGGAAAATGGACTTAAAAAATATAAAAATAAGTAAATTATTGTATTACTGTTACCCTTTAAAAAGAAAATACTTATCCGTTCCATGAAGTTTTACTTCGTAACATGTGATCTAGGATATCAGAAGCTAGACTTTGATTTCAAGATTTAATTGAGTTTTCTTTAATTGATATTAAAACAACTTAACAACGTCACAAAGAAACGGTGATTTGTATTAAGAGAGAAAAGTATTCGTATTACAATTTCTTACACTGTTGGCCCCAAAGAAAAAAGTTTCAGTTGAAATGATAAATTATTATTTGAATTGCACAATGTCGTTGAAACGTCAACGAAACAAAATCTATAAGAAGTATTGCACAACGTTCCTTTACGAGTTCAATTTTTTTCATACTTTGTTTATTTCATTTCAAGAAAGATAACGACAAGTGTTAAACTGATTTCTTTAAATAAATGGATCTTACGGACATTCGAGCACGTAATAAGAAATCCCCCGTTTTACTGACACGGTCAAAGATCAATTGAACTAATCACACGGATCTTATATGCAGAATTTAATATGCACAATGTCAGTAGATCTCGGCGAACGAAGATGATCAAGTCAACAGTGGTAATCTTTCTACTTGTTAGCTGTCAAGAGCTGCTATGTGCTGTGCATAAGACGCCTGGTAATAAATTGTTCTTTGAGAATCGTTGAAAATTATACTATTGAAGCAACCTGTCACACAGTGTCGATTACAGTGGAAGTGTACAGCTTCTTTTACGCTTTAGTGTTCAAATCATTTTTTTAGTCTTTCGAATCTAACGAAATTGTATATCTACAACTAACATTTTCGTCTTGCTTTTTCTACCAAGTGAAAACAAATATCAGTTGATCAAAAGATGGATTGTAAATATGAATTTAAACTAGATCTGCATGATGTGTAATAAATTATATAATGATCTTTTGAACATGCGTAGAATTCGGAGACATAGATACTTGGTTATTTTACTACAGAAAAATTCTAATTGAAATCTGAAAGATAGATTCTCTTTAAGAAAGAATGTCCTCTTGATTACTTTTGCAAATTTTTATTCTGCCACTCGTAATGTCAAGAATATTTACTTATTATTTACTATCGCCCCGTTATCGTCATTCCCAGTATAGCTCTTTGTTCAAAGTATATTCTAAAATACTGCAATAGTCGGTTTACGCAAGATTCGCCGCTTAAAAGACTAGATTGTTGTGTTAAGTGCTCGTGGCAAACACGGAAATGTGATCATCATTGTTACGCCAGTACGATGACACTGTTCGCGCATAAGACACTAAGATAATGTGCCGCAATCATAAAACATACTAGATCCGATCTTTCAAAGGAAATCATTATTTTAATTGTTACCACACAAAGATACACGATGCACCTCATTAAATCTATCTATTGTCGAGAGTAAAATGAAATCGAAAGACGAACGTGACAGTGACTGCAGAATCTTTCCTCCGGCTGTCGAATTAAATGTACAAACAAACACAATTGTACTTGAAATAAGTTATCACTCAAGTTTGTTCTCCTCCTTCATTTTCCGATTGATATTTTTCGAACTTTCTTCAATATTTAGCACGGCCAAATATAATATCAAGATCAGACTGGGCGGCCAGAAGACCAAGCTCAGTTCGAAATCTTGCGCAAGATCCTGCCCCATTTGTTCTAATTCATCATTCAGACAGCGATAGCTGCACCACTCAAGCGATTTGCCAAGCGAAAGTGAGAAATTTCCAGGTGATCAAATTAAATCAGTCATCTCCCACTTCCATTGGTTATTAAACGAGTGACTAAAATTAAACGCACACAAAAATTGACTTCCCTTTCTTTATTCACGCATTTAGAATTATCACATGGATAATAAAAGTTGGGAAGACATAGGTTACAACTTCTTGATCGGAGAGGATGGAAACATTTACGAAGGAAGAGGATGGAGCAAACACGGCTCACATTCGAGACCATACAACTCGAAGAGCATTGGAATTTGCATGATTGGCAATTTTAATCGTAAGTTTGCCTCTTTTGTTGTGTAATGCTGAAAAATTAAATCGTTCAACTTTCCCAAGGGGAAACTTATCGATAATAATACATACATAGTCTGAATGGAAATTTCTACGGAATTCATTCTCATTCTCTGAAATATTCGCAGATCACAATCCAAATGCAGCAGCGATAAAAGCAGTTCAGGATTTGATCGAATACGGCGTGTCTCTTGGAAAGATACAAGAGAACTACAAGTTGTTTGGCCATCGACAAACAACGCAAACCACCTGTCCAGGTGACAGTCTCTATCAATTGATTCAAACGTGGCCTCACTGGTCGTCAAACTAATAATAATAATAATTTCTCAATGGGAAGCATTTCTACAGAACGAAATTTATTTCAAAAGTACATGTCTCTATTTTGTATATGTCTTCGGTTCTCTGCTTTAATATCGCGTATCAGCAATTCTTGAGAATTATTACGAAATTATTCTATCACTGATTATACGTAAATTGTTACGACACGATTCACTGAATTGTCATAAGTATCCTCCTCTGTCCTAACGCAAATATCCACGTGAGAGAAATCGGGTGAATTTGTCTTAACGTTGTTGTAATGGCTCTTGTCTCTAGCCTGAAGAACACACGATACAATTACGTTACGATGAGAATAAAAATATTAAACTATATAGTGTACCTCGAGTGGAATTTTCCGTAAGAATTTTGCATTTAATTCTGGGATACATAATTTTGTCCCGTATGGTATCCCTGAGTCGAGGTCCATGGAGACCGTCACAAATTCCGCACGTTCATCAAGATAATCCTACAGCAAAATGTGCAATAAATAACAGAGAATTGATACATTCGAGTGTTTTATTGAAAACGTACCTGCAGAGTCCGTAATTTCTTCGTTCTAGCATCCAAATAGTCGGATTCGTTGTCACTGTCAAAAACGGGATAATAAGCAGCCAGAGTCACGTTGTAATGAACACGACCGCTACAACTGAGTTCAGGCCTACTTGTATCTATTTCTGGTATATAATTAGTTATTTTGAAAAGAACATATATACAAATGCAAATGAAAATGCAGATATAGAAATTTGTTGCTGTATAATTACCGATTGCAGAAATGAACGAAATAAAAGACACCACACATGAAAATATTAACGTTCGTTTCTCCATTACGTTAATCATTATTTTACGCCGCAAGATCGATCACTTAGCAGGCCAACTGTCGTACTGACCAACTTTCTTGCTTCAATTTACAAAATATACCGTGTCAGCCGAATGTGTCAGTCAATCATTGGAATTTGTCAATCTTTCAGAAATCAAAGGCAAATACGTCGATTAATGTCGTCGATTTAAAGCTCGCGCAACTTTGTACGAAATTGAAAAATTGTTAAAATTCTACTTACGACCCTTGCAGTTATAATATAAAAATACAGCTTTTGGTTGGAAAATTGAATGACTATTTCAAATCAGCCATGAAGCAACCATAATGAAATGTAAGAAGAAAATTAATTTTCAAATCTTACGATAAATATATTTCTTATATATTCTAGAGCAAATGATAAATTATCCATGTGTGAATCTATACATTTCTTCTTTCAGTATCTTTGCCTCTTCAAGAAATTATTATTTTTTTTTTTTTTTGACCGAGATATATTTCTTTTTAGATCTTAGATCTAATTGATAATTATGTATTATGTATAAATATGTTCAAATGAATAATTTAAGTTTGACGGGTCGTATTAATCATAAAATTTCATTACCCTCTCGTTACAATGCCAGGGTATAGGTGCCATACTCTTCTTGAATAATGAAAATCATGTTTGACTGGGACACGTGGAAAACTACGCGTTGTTAGTCGACCGACAGACCCCTTAGCATTCGTATGTGCTTTTGCTTTATCGTGAAAATCTTTCTTATTATGGATACCGATCGTTGTAATGGGGAGAAACTGTTGAAAAGCCACCGATTATAAAGTTTTCCACGCAAAATGGTGTAACTTGGAAGACACAAAGATGGTTTGTTCAAGTAAAATACCTATTCACTATTCAGCTATTTTGCCATTTTGTTTTTGTTTCGCATCAGGAAAGATAAATTACGTTTTCCTTACTTAGTTGTTCATTTATTATTATTATACACGGATGATATGTCGAGAAAAAGTTTCATAAAAAAATTAATAACATCCATAACGAATATGTTACGTTTCTGTAACAAAAATCCACTTATCACGCACGTACCCTTTTCGCTTAAAAAACATCGAGTTTATCTTGAGTTAATTCTTCTTCTGTAAAAATATCTTCCTCGGATGATCTAACATGTTCTCCAATTTTTTTCGTTTTAATCAAATACAAACTTGATTGAAACCTCAACATCAAACGATTCACGCGAGTGTTGCCAGAAGATTTTTCTTTTTTTTTTTTTTTTTTTTTTTT